TGTGAACTGGCTCAAAAACGACGGCCACGAAGGAAACTATATCTCCCTTTACGAGTCTAGCCATGCGGCATTTGGGGCCTGCGAACAGAAATAGATTCGCGAAACTGGGAGATAAATGGGCATACGAAGCAAGGATCATCAAATGCTCGCAGAGACTGGACACGAGATCATTTGGAAGGCAACGGTGAAAGCACAAAGAAACAGAAGATGTTGAAAGTCGTTGGGGGAAAAAATTAATCAACAGGAGATTGGAAGAAGGTTGAATCAGCTGTAACCTCGCCTATTGTCTAATCGAACTCGGAGAAAGCAGGGGGCAACAAGACAAGTAAAAAGGAGACCAGAGGAAAAGGGATCGCAAGGAAGATGAGGATGAGGAAGTTTAGGAAAGGAAGCGAAGACGTCTTAAGTGAGATCAGTCAGTTAAAATAGACGCTTCACGTGACTAGGGAGAGGGATTGGGTCACAAAAATCGGGTCTTGTGACTCAACGTGCTCACAATCCACTTGAGATGCAGCCGGCGAGTGGAGTGAGTTGTCCACAATTTGCTCGAGGCACACGGACCTGATCGAGGAGATGATGCGTGAAGGCAATGTCTGGAGTGAATTCGTTCAACCAGAACGCTTAGAAACGAACCTACGGGCCCATGAGGCAGATGCGGACAGCGGATCTGCTCAAAAGAGCACACCATAACAAATGTAAATGAGCAATTAAGAAAATGTGATTGGTGAGTAGCCCAGGGATGAAGGAGAGATACCACAAGTGTCTCTTTGACGAGTTGTAACGTGGTGCTAAGTACGACAAGGCTCACTGGCGATGTCGGCGAAACGTCTGGGAATGTACCAAATGCACGATCCGACTCTGGAAATGATCATGCACACTATTGACAACGGACAGGGTGTGTTGCTCTAGGTCTTCCTGCTAATATAAATAAGGTCAAGCAACCTATAAATGGGGCTTTCTCTAAAAACTGTTCATAACAATTCTGATAATTAAGGCCACTTAAAACTAAAAAATAAGCTGTGATGGAATTTGGAAGCACAACCGAAAGTTTGGCTTGTACAATAAATCATTTTTAGGACGAAATATAATAAATATCATTATATAATATATATACTTTGAGGTTAGCTGAGAATGGTGTGATAGAAAACGAAACCGTGTAATTCACTTTTGTCTGTTACCCGTCTGTGTGCATCGAGTCAGGGAGATTATGGCAGAAATCTACGATGAATTGAAACCATTTGGTTCAAATATGAATATCCATTAGGGCTTTAATATAAAAGAAAGATTATTAGCAATGAATACAAGAGTTTATGAGATAAAGTAGTTCCAAGTTAAGCAAGTACCTATTTTGAAATAAGTGAAAAACGAAATATTAAGATGGGGTTTGACCTAGTTTTAGTAGATACGAAGAGAAATTTGGTTTCGATGAATTTCTTG